CTAGGCCGTCCCTCAGAGAGGCATTGATGACCTCCAGGTTCCAGGCACCAATCCCGTGTTTGGCTTTGTTCAGTAGCCATGACGGGCAAGGGTCAAGTAAACAGGTGGTAGGACGTACTTATCCACATCATCAGGCCGCAATAACTGAAACTCATCCAACAATGTCGGACCAGATGGAGACATTGGCACCTCCCCTAAGGGCTCTGAATCACTAGTGGAGTCCAGCTTGTGACGAATCTGAATGATTTTCTCCTTAAAATGCTTGGCAGAGTCATCACAATGGGCTGTCAAGGGTGGTACAGGATCTTTCTTAGGGCCTGGATGTACCAGCCCCTGTACCACCCGAAAGAGCTCCGCTAGACGGCATTGTGAGGAGGCAATGGAAGCAGAGAAGAATTTCTTCTTCTCCGCCCTCACTGCCACAGCACAGGCTTGATAGTGAGCTCGCAAGTGTGTTCGGTCAGATTCATCCCGTGATTTCCTCCACCTACGCTCTAGATGTCTCCCAACCCGCTTCATCGCCCGTAGTTCAGGTGTATACCAGGGGGATGAACAGACTCTGCTAGGAGGGAGAGGACGCTTAGGAGCGATTGTGTCAATAGCTCTGGTCATTTCCCCATTCCACAGTTCGACCAGAGCATTGACAGGAGCACCAGCCTTATCAACCGGAAACTCCCCCAGAGCTTTCAGGAATCCATCCGGATCCATCCGGTTCTGAGGGCGGACCAACACAATAGGGTCTGCACCCTTACAGAGTGAAAGGCCACCATCGAGCTCAAACCTCACGAGGAAGTGATCTGACCATGACAGGGGAGTCAGACACAAATTCCTCACCCTCAGATCCCCCTCCTCCTGCCCCGCCGAGAAAACCAGGTTCAGCATGTGTCCGCATTCATGGGTCAGGCCTATGACATGTTGAGACAGCCCCACAGCCGTCATGGAAGCCATGAAGTTCTGAGCCACCCCAGTCAGAACAGTCTTGGCATGGAGATTGAAGTCCCCCAGGACCAACATCCTGGGTGTCCTCAACACCAGGTCCAAGACAATCTCCATAAGCTCAGCAGGGAGTCTGATGGGCAGAAGGGTGCACGGTACACCAGCAGAATCCCCAATCTGTCTTGGTCGCCCAACACCAAATAGAGGCACTCTAGACCCGGTCTCGAGAGAACAGGAAGCCCCATGAGGGAGATGGAGGCCCGGTAAATTAAAGTGACCACCCCTCCCCTCCCCTCCAGGCGTGGCCGGTGCTGGACCAGATCCCCAAGCAGGCACAGTAAAGAGAGGGACACATCCCCCCCTCTCCCGCCCAGGTCTCTGTTATGCAAGCCAGGTCGCCCCCCTCATTTAAGTCGTGAATGAGGGATGTTTTGTTGTGGACCGACTTGGTGTTAAGCAACAGCACCGTCAGGCCCGAGGGGTGGTTGATAAGCCTACCCAGAACCTTCCAGCTGGGGGAATAACCAGAAGGGGGAACAGGTGTCAACCATCTGTCCCTCCTGCTTCTACGCCGACATGTTAAACCCCTAATGCCATAACGACCATTGCCCAAGACCACCCCAGTGGTAGCGCCCACATGCTCCCCAGGCAACCTCATGGCAGTAGCCAGGAGTGAATCCATTAAAAGAATCTCAGCTAAAATACAATTTAAAATACAATAAAACCATAAAACCCACCAACCACCCAAATACAAAAATACAAAAACTTCACCGCCCAAAATCTATGGCTGGCCCAGGCCCCACACGGCCGCAAATGGCGACGACGCCTTTCGGCCACTGGCCCGAGGCTGCCGGCCCCAGTCATGGCCAGCAAGTTAAAGCCGCAGCTCCTCCCCCGTGCCCCACCCACAGCCCAGTGCAGCTGCCACCCACGCCCGAGGGGGGGGCAGGAGCAGGCATGGAGGAGGGCCCACAGGCCGGCAGCATCCTGGTCCCAGTCCTGCAGTGGACGTCGTCCGTCCCTCGGAGCAGCGTTGTCGTCAGCGGCAGGACTCAGTCAGCAGCGGTGGCGGTTGAATCTCGCGGGCGGCGGTGGTGGTGGTGGGCTGTCCGTCCCTCCCGGAGCCGGCTCGGTTGCAACCGGCGACTTAAAGCCGTGGCTCCTCCCCCAGCCCGACGCAGCTGCCACCCATGCCGGAGGGGGGGGGCAGGAGCAGGGCACGCGGAGCACTCGCCAGCAGGGAGGAGGACCCACAGGCTGGCAGCATCCCGGTTCCATGGTGGACGCTGTCCGTCCCTCGGGGCATCGGCGTTGGAATCTTGTGGGAGGTGGTGGCGGTGGGCTGTCCGTCCCTCCCCTTTTTAAAGAGTTGGAATGTTCTCTTGTTATGGTGGTTGTTCTCACTAATACCTGTGGCTGTTTTTCCAAACTATCCTTTACATCTGACTTTAACCTCTGTGCCTTTGGAAAACATTTGTTGCTAGGAGTAAAATGTCAGCTTGAAGTTGACTGAAACTTTTGAAACTGATTAGGTCTTGATTCCTACCCAATTGCTTCCCAGGGTTAATTTCTCTTTAAGGCATTTAGTATAAATCAAATATTTACGTGCATGTATATTTATATCCTGCCTTTTTTCTTGCAAGAACTCAAGGCACCTTACATAATGCTCTCAGTGTTATCCCCACAACAACAATGCTTTGAGGTAGGTCGGGCTGAGAGTCTATGACTGATTCAAAGTTACCCAGTTGGCTCCATGGCCAAGTGGAGACTAGAACAGTTCCGCACTCTTAACCACTACCCCACAGTGGAACTGTATACTGAGCTGAAATCGCAGGGCCAAATTACATATGAAGATGATGATTTAGATTTCTAACCTGCCTCATTAGCCATACGATTCCCTAGGTGGGTTAAAACAACAAAAATACAGAATAAAATACAGTATAAAAAGAGAAATTACAAATAATGATGTTACTTACATTTTTGAAACCATATAGAAACTGTATCTGCAGTTGCTTTTATTCCCAAGTACAAATGCCTCCGTTATGCAAGATGTTTCAGAAGTGGGAAAAATGCACATATACAGTGGTGCCTTGGGTCATGAATGCCTTTGTTAACAAACAAATTGGGTCACGAACAAAAATTTCATGAAAATTTTGACTTGGGTCGCAAACTCCTCATTGGGTGGCAACCAAGATCACAGCCATCTCCCCACCCCACCGAGTGGGGAGATGGCCACGATCGCAGTTGCATTTGTGCAGGGAAGATGTGCGTGATCACGGGCGTACTCCTTCAGGAAAGACTAGCCCAATCTTGACCATCTCCCCCCCCCCCCCCACAACAAGCACAATCGCAGCCATCTTCCCCCACCCCCGAGAGGGAAGATTTTATTTATTTATTTATTTATTTATTTATTTATTTATTTATTAAAACATTTTTATGCCGCCCCATTCGCCGAAGCCTCGGGGCGGCTCACATCACTAAGTTAAAAAAAAATGGCCACAATCGCAGTTGCATTCGTGCAGGGAAGACATAGAGGAACTGATGACAGAAGAACTTGCTCAATTCCAGAGTGAGCAGCAGAAGGCACTTGCTAAGGAGGATTCCACTGAGGAAGAGGAAGACAGGGAGGAGGTTAGCAGTGATGTGATACAACCCATTATGAAAAAAATGGAATGAGCGCCAGGATTTCTTTGAGAAGCACCACCCCAACATAACTGTAACCAACAGAGTGTTGAATCTGATGAACGATGACGTGGTCTCTCATTTCCGAAGGGTTATGCAAACAAGTGACTATAGACAGATTTTTCACCAAAATTGACCCTGCAGCTAAGAGACAAAGAAGAGAAGAAACCCCTGAAAGAGATCTCCCCAATGTCCTTATGGAGGGGGACTCTCCCTCAAAACAATAACCTCCCCCACACCTAGGTTAGTGCTCTCCACTGTACTGTACAGTTTTTGTCACTTTGTTGTTCTTTGTCACTTTGTTTCACATTTTTCTGATTTAAAAAATAGTTACAGAACGGATTAACCTTATTTACATTGAACCTTATGGGGAAATTTGACTTGGCTCGTGACCAAAAATTGGCTCAGAACCACATTTGGAGGGGCCAGAATGGATTAACCTTATTTACATTGACTCTTGTGGGGAAATTTGACTTGGGTCACAACCAATTTGGGTCACAACCAGAGTCGTGGAACGGATTAAGTTCGTGAGCCAAAGTGGCACTGTAATTTGGCCCTCAGAGTACTGGCAACTGGATCTGAGTGGGAGGTGAGATGTTCATTTATGAGCAGAATACGGCTTCCAGAATTGTGACTAGTAGGGCTCATGTGTAGCATGCCAACTGTGAAAGAACTTCACTGGCTGCCTTTCCTTCTGGACCCAATTTAAAGTGTTTATTCTTAGCTTTATAGCCCTGACCAGCTTGGATCCAAGTTCCTACAGGAACACCTTTCCCCATATTATTAATTTGTACCCTACCTTTCTATTAAAAATTCATATTTTAATAGAAATGCCTGAACATTAAAATCTTCTGTTGAGGCTTTTTCCCATTAAGAAAATGACTTTATTTGGCAGTGCTCCCCTCCCAGCGCTGAAATGCATCCTGTGCCACAGCAACCCTGCAGGTTGCCTGTGAGCGAGTACAGACAATGAAGTATCAGGGGAGGCAGCAGGCTTTGCTCTCATTGCAGCCATTTGCCCAAGCCAAGTGTGGAATTTTGCATTTCTTCACGGGACACCACTGTGGTAAAGGCTAAGCCTGCTTCCTGCCCTTGGGGACGTTGGCTGCTTGGACAGCCAGCCTGTGTTTGTGGTCATTGCTCCAGTCCTTAATGTGCATAGTCCTATTCTTTGGCTTGTCTCTTGGCCACTCTAGATAGGACAGAATTTGGGACTGTGTGTGTCTGTATGTATGCAATATAGATAAACTTGTATTTCTGAAAGAATCTCAGAGCAGAGTTCAGACTTGAGGTCTTTAGAATTGATAGTCCTTCATTGCATATTATTGTCAAGTATTTTTCCTAGTTTCATTATGATTTTCTTCCTTTTCCTTTTATCTTAGAATTTGCAAGTACTCTCATGACATTTTTTCAGAGGATAACCAAAAAGTCCTAAAAAATCATCAACTCTCTGGCCTCAATGAGGATGATCTACGTATTTTACTTCTTCAAAATGATCCTTTTTTCTTACCAGATGTAAGTTATGAAAATACTTTATAGTGATATTGAATGAAACATTTTCCAGTACTTCATTTTTCTCTGGAAAATTTTCCATTTTGTAAATCTGTCAGTGAAAACAAATGGTAAATGCCCATTGCAAATGTAACATTAGGCAAAGCAGGCAGTTTTGGTTTTAATGCCTTTTTAGTGATTATAATTTAGAGATTATTTAGTGGGTATGTGAGAGAATGCATATATATCATTGATACACACACAAACAAAATTTGAAATGAAATTTATAAGTGGCAGAATGCTGGAGGTGTCCCAACATTCTCAGTGGAAGAGAATTTGACATAGAAGAGCAGTAGTCAGGCTGTCATACACAGTTATTTTGGTTGCTAATATGTATTAGTGTGTTAACAGTTTTCATTATGAGTGTTTTTTTCCTTAAACTTGAATAACATAAGGAAAGGATAATATTTATAGATATTTCAATAAGTAATTCTTCATAATGTAACATTTAAATTGAATTAAGTTTGCAATTGTATGCAAGCTTAGAAAGAAAAAAAGTCCTAATATTCCCAGCATTTTTCGGCTAACATGGCTGGCCAGCACATGCTGGGAACTACAGGACTTTTTTTTCTACTTACTGCCTAAACAGCCATAGAATTGTACCATAAGTGTGTTTTATTTCTCCTACCTACTCAAATATTTTAGGCCAAATACATGGTGTGCTGGGGAAAAATTAACATGGGGTATGTTTTTAGTTTTTCTGTGTATTAAATACAAGTAAGATAAACCTGTTAGATAACACTCTAAGGGCACAATGCAGGTTTAGACAGGAAAAAAGACCTACTCCTAACATGCCCCAACTAGCAATGCTGGGAGCTCTACACTTTTTTCCACTTAAACTTGCATAGTGTTACACTTTGGGGCACTAGACAATTTAGCCTAATTTGCTGTGGAACATTTTGCAATTCAAAATGTCCTCCTTGGAAGGATTTAACAAAGCCTGAAAAGTTTCAATTGATACCAATATAAACTTACTTCTTTTGTTAAGTGGAGTAGAGGGTGTTATTTCAGAAAGTAAAGTGTGATGGGGGACATGTAATCCTCCCCTCCTGGTGTGTGGTCATCCCATTCTGAATTGGGAAGACTTGTGCTTAAACTAGAGGAAAGAAAAAGTTAACCCTCAGCTTCATTAGTGTAATGTGCACTGTGGCTGTGAGTCAGGCTGCACTAAAGTTTGCATGATTATACTGGGTGTGCCATTTTGAAATCCTTTTCTTTTCACAGCTGCACTTTCACATGGATTTCATGTTTTCATTAAGCTATCTACCATGAACCCAAGATTTTTTTTCCTGTTTTAGCCACTGCAAGTCAGACATGGCCTATGCATATGTAGTGAGGTCTTTTGCTCAGTCTGCATCACTTTACATTTATTCATACTGAACCCCATTTGTCATTTTATTGCCCATTTCCTCAGATCATTTTAGAGCTCTTCACAGGATACGTATATCTTCCCGAATAATTTGATAATGAACTCCAATTTGAGGGTGAACTCCAATGGGAGGCAAGAGTCATTTACCAATTTATAGGCAATTATAAACCAGTAAATAGTACTGGTCCCAATACGGTTTCTTGTGGGTCCTCACTGTCAACTGACCTATAATCTCCTAGCTGATCCCCGATTACTTTTAAAAAAAAAAGATGCTATGTGTGCTACTTTTAAAGGTACATGCTAATGACAAGTTCCATATTTTTATAAAAGACCAGAAAATTCATACTTTAATAGTATTTAGGCCATCTGGACCTGTTGTGAATTTTTAATTTCTCAGTTAGATGTAGAACGTTCTTGATTTAGCTCTTCAGATGCTTCCTCCCACAAAAAGTATTTGATGCAAAATCTGTCTGAAGTTGCAATTCAGAATTGGTTTATCATCTCTGCAATCTTCTAGCCCTTCCTTAGAAACCCTCCTGTCCAACCTTCTGGACAGGTTTCCTGCTTCTAAATACATAATTCTTTTTGCCTTAGTAGTTCCTTAGCAATTTGCTACTTATATTCTTTTTTTGCCTTGGTTTTAAATTTCTCTTAGTTTACCTTTCTTTTATCATTCTCATTTCCACTTTGGAAAGACTTCCATGCAGTATCAATTGTCACTCTTGCATGTTCTTTTCTCCTTTCGTCCCATGTCCAGGTATGCCAAGTCTACAACAAGGGGGAAGAGAAATGCAGCCAGCGAGCCAATTGCACCAAACTTCACATTTGCCGATTCTTTCTTAAAGGACAATGTAGATTTCCCCACTGCAAGAGGTCACACAACCTTTTGGACCCAGATACTTTGGCACTGCTGCTTGCAGAAGGGCTGGATCATAAGATTGCTTGGAATATCCAGTCTATCTGTGATCACAAAACTGCAGCATTTTGCAAAGAGTTAGGACAATCCAAAAGTGAGTGTTTATAAATACAGGGGCTTTGTATTTCTCCTCTGGGCACTTGTGTTCTCCTGCTGATGTACTCTAGCGTGCAGATGTCCCTGTTTCTCTTTGTTGTCTTAAGCTCTTCTCCATTCTCTTAGCTTATTCCTCAAACCCCAAGCCTACATCAGGTGGAAGAAGATCAGATGCTTTGAATTGGACAGAATACAGACTTGAGCAAGCTTCCAGTTTACTGACTTCCATGCAACTAGAGCCGGCTAAAGGTGAACCAATAAAATCTTCATCATAGAACTCAAATGGATTGATTAAGTTTAAGCCAGAATAGAAAGAAGTGAATCAGAATGGGTCTCCTAGGCCATGTAGTCTGACTCCTGGCTCCAGTCTGCTTAGCTCATGATATGCCCACCATGTGCATGTTCAGCCTATCCTTAAACACCTTCACTGATGGGCTTCAACCACCTCCCATGGAAGCCCATTTCATAACCAAGGCGTATTAACTGTCAGGAAGTACTTTCTGGCATCCAACTTGAACCTTGATTCCCTGAGCTTTGCTCCATTGGAACGTATCTTGCCCTCATCCACAGAAAAAAAAAGGTCATGACCCACCTTCACGTGACACTGCCTCATGTACTTATATGTGGCTAACAGATCCCCTCAGTCTCTTCTCATATGGCTTATCTTGCAAACCAGCTACTATTCTTGTAGCCCTTCACTACACCAATTCCAACCTCTGTATCCCTCTTGTAATGAGGGGCCCAGAACTGAACACAATACTCCAGTGGTGCATGCACCAGAGTGGCAGTAATACTTCTCTCGATCTAGAAGCCACACTTCTGGCTATGCTTCCAAGGGTGGCATTTGCCCTCTTGACCACTGTGTCACACTGCTGAGTCATGGTTAGCCTGCAGTCCACCAGCATCCCAAGATCCCTTTCACAAGTGCTGCTCTCCAGCCACTTGTCCCCTAACCTGTATTTATGACACCCATTCCTATGCCCCAAGTACAAGATCTTGCACTTAACCGCATCGAATGCCATCCTGTTGTCCCCTGCCTCCATCCAAATCCTTGAATGTCTGTATTGTTTTGGCACAGGTTTGCCTGCAGCTTTGACTTTGCAGCTTTGGGCTTTAATCCCAACCTGTACCATAGAGCCCACTTTTAAATGTTTACTGAGCATATTGTATCAATCAACTATGATCTCTATATTTCCTCCATTTCCCAAAATCTGGCAAATATTGAAGATGAACAATCTACTGATAATGTAGGATAGCAGTTTTAACAATGTTGTTATTTATGCTTATGCCTTATGTGTTTTAGATTCATGAGCTGTTGATATTAATATATTGTAATTCAATTCTTTTAATTTTTGTGTTTGATACTTGCCTTGTTTTATATTGGACAGTTTGTATAATTGTGGTAATAGAAGAGTATCTTTTAACTTGTTTGGTGCATGTTGGCTTGTGTTTGGTGCTGCACATGTATATATTCCAGATGGATTTTGTTTAAGACCAATGCTTTGTGGTGTGTGCCTTGTGACATTTAGGATTAATGCAACGTGGTTCCAATTTGCTTTGACCTGGTCCTGAAAAGAGAAGTGAGAGTGCCTTCAGCTGCTTCTTGATGGAGCAGAACATAATTTTTCTAAGGTGTGGTAGACCGATCTTAAGATTTTTCTCTCTTTCTTGCAGCTGTAAAAGCAGTTTCTCCTACTGAACCTCTGAGTACTGAAAAGGAGAAAAGTGATGAGATATGTTTGCATTATGTCTGGCGTTTCTGCAAATACAGAAGTAAGTTTCAGTAGAGAAGACCTGGGTTGAGTATGCATGTTGGCCTTTCTCAGATCATTGTTGTTTATATTGCCTCCATCCACTTCATTCTCCACCTCAAGAAACAGCCTTGGGTGAAGCAGAAAGAAGGCATGTCATAGCCTGGGAGGGATGGCAGTCAGGGACTTGGGATATTAGGATGGAGAGAGGGACTGGAGTTCTCTGTTCACACACTCATCCATTTCTGTGGTCTTGTAGATAGTATTGTTTCACCACTTGATCTGGAAACTAGTTAATACTCTGAACATGTAGATGCAGTGCCTCTGCTTGGAGCTGGTTGATTGGTACCTGTGGCACTGCATAACTACTGCACAACACCAAGGTGCTTAGCCTGTGCAGCACATCGATGTTCCTTCTTGTCTTTTCTGCTTTAAAGGCATCTATTTGCAACTGCTTAGAAAGCAAGAACCCTATATTTAGGAGCATGGTGTCACTAGTATGCTGATGGTACCCAGCATTATTTGTTGTTACTGTTTTCATTGAGCAGTGATGCAAATGCTGAGCAATTATGTATTATGGGGTGGGGTAGTGCTAATAAAAAGAAGCCTAATCCAGACAAGATAGGCTTGCTGAATGCACATAACCCAAAGCATGAGGAGGTAATGGCTTTGCCTGTTATGAATGGGATTGCTCTAATTGTCTGAGAGATAGGGCATTGTATAGGGCTTTTATTCATAATGTCACCATAAGTCAGGGATGACATGATGGCACATAGCAACAAACTTCACATCCTGTACTTTGTTAGGCATAGAGATGTTCCATTTTTGGACTCTTTTAATGTCTGTTATCTGTAATTTTTAACTTGTTATATTGATTCATCAGCTTTCCAAAGGCAGCTGTGAAGTGACACAGAATATTGAAACCTGTCCATGTCCTTTGTTCTTCCACTCTTTCCTAAAAAAAGAAAAAAATATTTTGGGGCGGGGGGGGGATACGTCTCTCTTAGTGTCCCTTCCTCTCTCTCTCCAACTCCTTCTGCTCCCCTGGCTTGCCTTCTTGCTCTTGGTGATGGTGCTCAAGGCACAATTTAGAACCTGCACTGAAAATGATAGTATAAACTGCCACCTACCAATGGACACTCTCTGTGCTTTTTTTTTGTCTGGGGGAAGGTCATGTAGTGGATTCCTGCTACCACTACCAAACAAGCCAGAAAACATCAAGCTGACTGCTTGAATTCAGAACTTTGGAGCAGGGCACTACATGGGAGTAGCTCCCTACAACCATCAATCTCAAGAGCTGCAGTCTCAACTGTACCCCCACCCCTGGTGGAACCATTTACCTCTGACACAGGTAATGAACATACCACCAAGATTGCAAAAGCCAAAAAGTTGGCCAACAAGGCGAAGTGCTCTAAAAGGTCACTCTGGGCAATGGACAAAATGATGGCATGTGCACAAAAAAGCTTTGTGATCAAGAGTCCTTATTGGGTTCCTGTGGTGCCAAAGCCCAAGCCATCTCAACATTCCTTTCTGGTTCCAAGACCAGTACAGGAGTCTCCATCTCTACCACAGCTCTGAGTGCCTCATTTGCAGAGGGAGAGATTTGAGAGCCATCATCTTCCAGATGGCATCCTGTTCCAGTTACCAAGGGACTGAGATGCAGCTCACCTTCCTTGCTGATTCCAAGTCTGCAACATCTGATTGAACCTGACAAGAACTGCTGTAGATCATGTTCCCCCATCATTGATCCTAGCTGTCATTCCATGTGGCCTACACCACCCCTGAAGCATGATTACGATGTGGACTTTTATAGGGAGCAATGGGCATTCTTTGATTCTAGATGCCAGGAATGTTCCTGTTGGAGTACTGCCTGTTTGGACAGGCCATCCAATTGCACTGTGTCTGAACTGAGACCAAGGGCTCCCAGAGGTGCAAAAGAAACAAGGACCTAGTGCTTGCCACCACCACCTCAAACCCATCCACCTCACAAGATACCACTCCAGGGATGCCACACAACATTTGAACAAGCTGGTGATTCTTAGGACCTTATGCTTCCACCTCAGAATCTGCCTTCCCAGGCCAACATTCACATATACTGCCAAGCCTGACTCAAGACTTGCATGGCCCTCCTCATTCTTCCAAGGAACTAGAAGGATGGGGAATAGTATCCAAATACTATTCATGGCCTGCAGCCTGGGACTCAACTTGTTAGTCAATCTTCTGTCAATCTTATTAATCACATTTTATCTCTATCAGAATAATAATTTAAATTAATTTGTTAGGAAGAAACATTCTTTTGAAAATTTTCAGCAACTTCCATCAAGGAGCAGAAACTTTTGCTCCTGTTCTTCTGTATCAAGTTAGTCCCAAATCCATTTTTTTCCAAGTCCAACAGATGGTGCTGAGAGTGCTCCAACTGATTTTACTTCTGCATCACAGCTTGAAAATCCATTACTTCATTATTGCCCCCTTCAAAATTTAAGACGGGGAGTCCATAATTCTTTAATATCTTTGCTTCACAGTAGTTGCCTATGTACAAAAGTCATGTTTTGTAAGTCATGTACAAAATTAGTTCAAAAGCAACCAGAGTCACAGTGTATGAAATACTCTTCCCTAGCTTCACACTCTCAGTGGCATTTTATTGCAGAAGGAAAATGGTGAGAGAGCAAAGCTGTCCTTCTCATCAAACAGAAGCTTTAGTTGTATCAAGGTCAGTCCCCATCATCCATAAATCTTAGCCTCTTAAACAAAGATATCAGACATCTTTAAAGCTGTTAAAGTTTAATTAGAGATCTTATAGAACACTGCTAATCACCAGGAAGCTGTCCGTTTCACAGTCCTTTCCAAATACGCAAACAAAAATGCCTTTGGAGTCTTAATTGCAGCAAGTTTCAGTAATATTTCTTTGGCTCAAAAAATGGAATGAAAAAGAGCAGAAACAAAAGAAAAGAGCTTGGAAAAAATATTGTGGGGGGGGTGACTCTTGTTTCAGTTTACCTTATCTGGCCATCTCGTAATCAGAGCTATAGACTGGAAGTCTTCAAGTTCACCTCTCATTTGAAGAGGTAGAAACACTCTCAAAGACAATTTATAAGCATCTAAATGAGATAAGGTAAAGAGCACCACAGGGTGCTGCCAGACAAGTCTCCATTCCCCAGAAGTCCTCTTTTATTTCATTTTGAACTGTTTCACCATATGCTTTACATGGTTATAAAATTCAGAAGTGGATTATCATATTCTTCTGTGCAGTACTAACTAGAGTTAGCTGGAACATCACATCTGCAAACATTACCAGTGTTGACCTCAACTAATGCTGTTGTGCTTGCTTGCGCGCGCGCTTGCTCGCTCTCGCGCTCTCTCTCTCTCTCTCTCTCTGGTTTCAGCAGAGATAGTGAATTGATTGTCTTCTGCCAAATCACCTTTGCTGAGAAATATTGGGGAGACTTTTTGCTCAAACATGGTTTACAAACATTCTTAAAAGGGCATTCTTCACTGTGACACTCAGATTGTGGGACTCTCTGTGCCGGTGGATCAACCTGCTTCCTTTTTGACACTACTTCAATTCCTTTTCACAAACATATTTGTATGGTGAGATTTTAGCTTGACTAGAATTTGAGAATGGCTCTCACTACTTTTGAAAATTTTTGTTTGCTGCTGCTGTCTGAAATAAGTGTTTGTTTCTGTTGTTTTCAGTGTAATTTTACTGTGTTTTAGCTGTAACAATAGCCTTTTTAGGAATTTTTGTTAAAATGGGAATGATGGGACAAAAATATTCTTATAACTGAATTTGCACTTTGGTTCTGTTATCAGCTGAGACATCCCTTACTTTTATTTGTTCTCTTTGCAGATAACTGTCCCCTGGTGCATTGCGATTTGCCTTATTGCTGGCAAAAATATATCGGAAATGATTGGCATAATATTGCAGAAAACAAAGAAATAGAAAAGGCCTATTGTGATCCATCTCTTACCTGGTATTGATCTTCTTAGTCTTTCCCTCTCTGTGAAAAGTACTAATGGAAATTGGCATTCCATTATAGAAATTAAATCCCAAGTCTCTTTCTTTAGATTTCTTCCCTTTAGAAATTCTGTGCCTGGGGTGGCCTTATTTCTTAATCCCATACATGATGTATGGCATCACAAAGGCATGACTTTCATGTTTTTAAACATGTTTTTTAGAAATTATCATTTCATTGTATTCATTTATTTACAAAAGCATTTAAAATGGAAGAAAATAGTATGTAAGCTTGAGCTTTATCATGGAATTTTCCAGATTCTTACTCAGTGATCCAGAGTATAATCAATTCCATCAATAAAGCAGACAGTTACAATCTGGAATCTTGGTCTAGGATAAAGCTAAGGAGTGTTTGCTACATTGTTAACCCCTTCCCCTAACTATTTAAGTGTACAGACTGGTTAGGATACCAGTATCCCTCTGAACACAGCAGTACAGGCATCCTGCACAGGTTGCATTTGTTCTCCACCCCCACAACAAAATGCTAAAATGGCTGATTTCAGCTGCATTTTGGAGCAAGTGAGGAGGAGTCTGAGGCATTGCCAGAATATCTCTTATTGTAGCAGCATGTGTCCCCTCCCCATTCCCTGGAATGTTGGCTAAACCTCATCTCTGTGGTCACTCTTTTGACCTTGGAAACACAGCTGACAAGGTTCTTTCCATGCTGGCTGCAGGAAAGGCTTATGCTGTGAGTGTGGATTTGTAGTTCCACACTGGAGCAACTTTCTGAGTTGGGTCAGGTCTCCAAAAAATCCTATGGCTGTCTAGAATTGCACTGGAAATCCACTAGCCTTTTGTTCAATTACAAAATAAAGGTATCACACTGATTAGGATTTTGGAATTTTCGCCTATGCCATAATAAATCTATGTGATTTCTTTTTGTGCAAGCATTGCACAGATTATAGATGCTGCAAATTCCCCAATCTCATAAAAATACTTTGAATACTCACATTTCAGAAACAACTTGAATATTGTGCTTCTATTTTGTCCCTATGGTCATATCCCAAATCCCATAAAATCTTGGCTGAAATTACTGGGACACAGCAGCAGCATCAAAAACAAAAATTGAGGTGCACTATGCATTTCAGAAAGTTCCCCATGTTACATTTTAGAAACAGAAATGATGGTATGTTTCACACAGCTATTACTGAAATATGTCCTAGTGATTTTGAAATATGGTTGCTTCACTTTCAGGTAAGCATGCAGCCTTATTTCAATTTCTAGTTTGAGTCAGCTATAATTTCCAAGAGGTGGCAGGAGGATGTGCTTCCAGATTAAAGAAGGATAATGAAAAACATTCCATACAAAACTTTTCTACATAAGGAATCTCTTTGAGCACTTTTGATTCATTGTGAGTTCTTTAGATGAGCTAAAGAATCTCTTGGTTTGTGTGTGTTTTTTCAGAGGAGTTTCCTGTGTAGTTTTAGAACTAGGAAATGAAGTATTATTTCTGCAAGTGCTGTTTCTATGCTGTAGTGCAGCTCCACCTGAAGGTTACATGGTAGAAAAGCAGAAAGGGAAACCTGCTGAGTTTGTATCCTAATTCTGTGGCAAAACCAAAGTAATTACAGCAATTAAGAGTGTCATGTAGCGAGATCTTAGTCTATGAAAGTGTACATACTTCATCCGGCACAAAACCTTCCTCCTCACAAATGACCCCATTTCCCCCAGATGGACATGTTGGGTGGATAGTTGCTGAAGTGTGGTGGGAGCAGCTTTCTCGAAATGAGGGAAGATAGGGATGGCCAAATATCTTCCCACTGAATGTGAAGGCTATTGCTGGTTTTTCAGTTCCAAAGCTTTCTTTCCCACCAGTGTTCTTTAAATGGAATTGTTCTTTATTGACTGAGAATAAAGAAAAACACTCTGAGCATGTGAAACAGATACTTTTTTCAAGTAACTGCAAGGACCTGGCATTGAGGAAGCATGTTGGGAGTCAAGCTATCTCTTCCACATCCAGCACTAACTATGGTAGATCACTGTTAGGAACTAGATTTTAAAAGAGAATAATGAGGGGTTTTGATGGTGGTTGTCATGAGGCCATTAGTGGTGGATTGGCAATTATCATAACATTGCAAATATTTGTATTCTGAGCAGGATGCTAAGTGAAAGACTGCGTTGCTAGGAGCTCCCTGTTAGAACTTATCTGTTGCATCGTAAATCTTGTAGAAAGTAGCAATAAAAGTCTTTAGTTTTATGGCTGGCTGCTGTGTGAGTTAATTGGAGACGTGAGTTACGACCTCATGACAGCTTGCTCCCTCCTTTCTGAAGTATCTCTGAGGAGCCCACGTGGGATTAGCTTTTCCTGTCACGTCTTTCCGCTCATGGGCGGGACAAACCTCTGTCCTTTCTTCTTAATTGTTCCAGACATCGTGAACTCCTCCTCTGTTGAGCGTCAGCCAAATTTACTGTTCCCTCTTCTTGGCCTTCTGAACTCTGCCCAGCAGCTTCAGTCAGAAGGCCGGGGGGCAACTTGTTCAAGCACCTCAAAGTCAGGACGAGGAGAAGCCACCTGATCAGAAGCCTCATAGTTAGGCTGTGGGGAGGTTATTTGCTCAGCGGTCCCAGAGTCAGGCTGCAGAGGGGCCGTTTGGTTACTGGGCCCCAAGTATAAGTCCCCTTGTTCCAATGCCTGATTCTCATTGTGAACGTTTGACTCTTTCTCGCAAGTTGACGACGGCTCGACAATTTCACTAATGTAGTTAAATGCAGCTCATTATGAGATTAGGTGACTTTCATGGAGCATGTTGCCATCTTTTAGCTGAAAGGATTGAATTTGAACCTTCAAGATTATATACTGCTTTGCTGATTAAAGAAGTTAATTGATTAAAACTATTTAACCCCCTTGAGATTTAATCTAATCTTTTTAAGGGTGACTTAAATAAACAGTTTATAAATATTGGTAATGCAAAACAAGCTCAACTCGCACCAGCTTCTCTACTGTAACGAACATGACAACGAAGAGTTCTTTATAATAGTCATATCATCAAGGTTTCTCATTACAGCAAGGGATCTGAAAAGGCCAATATATTACTGGAATCCTCCTAACTTTGTGAACTGGTAACAAGGGTGTGTTAGATGGATGGGATGTTAAGGACTGGTTCCAGTCTAACTCTGTACCAGGCAGTGCTGTTGGTAGCCTTCAGTACATGTCAGCCTTACCTTCCCATATTGGTTTCAGGTTGTGGCTGCAATTTTCTATGTGGTTAACCTAGTAAGCAAGTTGCACTTGGGTTTATTTGCATATAAATGAATACAAGCTGGCTGTACAACAGTAAATCCCCTATATATTTTCCTCTTGAGATACCGGGAAACAAAATGCCTAGACTTCTGTAACGCGCTTTACGTGGGGCTTCCCCTGAAGACGGTCCAAACACTTCAATTGGTGCAAAATAGAGCTGCCAGGTTGCTGACGGGGATGGGGCGTTATGCTCACATGACTCCAGTCCTCCGTCAGCTTCACTGGCTTCCCATTGAAGCCCGGGCCCAATTCAAGGTGTTGGTTATTACCTATAAAGCCCTAAACGGCTTGGGTCCTGGCTACCTGAATGAGCGCTTACATCCATATATGCCCAACCGCCCCTTGAGATCTGCGGGAGAGTCCCTTCTCCGGGAACCCTCCATGAAAGAAATTAGGAGAGTAAGTACTCGGAGGAGGGCTTTCTCTGCGGTGGCACCCAATCTATGGAATTCACTCCCCAAAGAGGTCCGCCTGGCACTGTCGTTACTGGTTTTTCGGCGCCAGGTAAAGACCTGTTTATTTAAACATCATTTTCATTGTTAAAATATATGATCTGGCCAGGGCAACTTCTTCTTCCTTCTCTTTTCTCCTCCTACATTCTTTATTTACTTATTTTATACTGTTAATTTTAATTTTATATTATTGTATCTCAGTGTATTTTTTGTATTTTTGTATTTAGTGGTAATTTATTATGTTCTATTGTATTTCAATGTATCTTATTGTGTTGTAAGCCGCCCCGAGGCTTCGGCAAGGGGCGGCATAGAAATGTAATAATAATAATAATAATAATAATAATAATAATAATAATAATGTGATAAATACAATAGTACTGTTGCTAGTGCTAGTCATCTGTGATAACTAGATAGTGGCTCATCTGTTCCCTGGATGAGTGAAATTGCCCACAGACAACCAGACAGAAAGACTTAACAGAAAGATGGCACATAGGTACATTTAGTCAGGCAGAATGTTTTGTGTTTCAGTAATTCCTTAACAATTTGCAAGGCTATATAAAGGTTAAAGGCAATATGGACATGTTGGAAGAAATAGAGCTTTCCAGTTATTTCTTCCCTTGCATAAGTTGAAGCCAATCCTTTGTTCACAGCAGAGTGCAGCCAGGCCTATATTCAGATATTGACCCCGCACCCTGTAATTTCACCAAACACAGCATCTGAGCACAATACAGAGCAGGAATGCTGCCTCCCCCCGCCCCCACCACACACACACACCTGTCGGTGGTGGCTGAATTGTCCAGTATTAAAGATGGGTTTCGATTTACTGTGACTAAAGAATGCTTCAAGTGCAGTACTCTTTCTCCCCCACCCTAGAAATAAATATCCTAGAAGATAAAAATATGTATAAATAGTAAATATTCACTATTTACTTTATATAGGTAAATAGTAACTATAACAACTTTCCTGATCCCTTGGTCCCAGTGTTTGGAATGGGAATTAGTATTTAAGACTGGAACCAGCTTACTTTCCCCCATATAACTGAGTGGGAAACATGAGAGCTATGAGAACTCTTAGTTTGCCCTAGTATGCATAGCAGCCCTATCCACTTGGTAAGGTTGGAGGACCTGAAGTTGATTCCTGAGAATGATTTAGCATAGGAGGTGCCGTTGGAAGGTGGGAGGAAGTGTTCCACCAAACAAACAACTTATTCCCCCAGCCTACTTTCCCCCTATGATTACTTAAAGAAGAGGCACTTGAGCAGTGTAGGCAGGCTTGAAGTTTATACCCTTTCCCCAAAAATATGACCAAACCAGAAAATAAGCCCTAGCATGATTTTTCAGGATGATCGTAATATAAGCCCTACCCCACAAAATAAGCCCCAGTTAAGATCAGCCAGATGGACGCATTTAGTACATCCGTTGTGACACAGTTTGGGGTTTGGAGAGTTATGATGATGTTCCAGAAGAAGATGACATGACTGTATTTGAATAAATGTAGATTTTTGTACATGAATAAATGTAGATTGTTGTACATGAAAAAATAGGACATCACCTGAAAATAAGCCCTAGTTTGTCTTTTGGAGCAAAAATCAATATAAGACCTGGTCTTATTTTTGGGGAAACATAGTAGGCTCTACTTTGTGTGCATGTGCTGTATGTGTAGCACCTCAAAATCCACCACCTGAAACCAGATACAAAAGACAATTCTGGGCTGTGGAATTTATTTTGAGTAGCAGAACTAAATGGACCTCACAGTCCTTCCAGGCAAAAATCTTAACTTCATACTGCAGCAGTTACTCATTTGTGTTATGGTCAAACAATTGGGAGTCAGAAATTCGTGCTGATCTATTGAAAATTTCCCAGATATCTAACAATAGACCCAGATGTACCTTCTGCCCACTGTAGCAGTAGAGGGCTTCTCTTTATTATCAGTCAAGTAAGAGCATTTCTATATATGCCTTCCATCTGTTTGTGATAGAACAAGGTTGGGGAAGATTACTTCAGCCATAGAAGGAATGATTTTATAGATATGGAAGTCTATGGCCTTATGTTGAAAGGGTAATTAAATAGTTTGTGTCCATAGGCAATTAGATACTTTACATCTCCTTTTTTATTCTCATAGTCATTGGAACCCAGATATCAATTTTTGCTCCATGACTAGTAATCATGCTCCAGTTCGGCGCCTTTCCACACCATCATCTGTCACCAAACCTACTAAATTTGTAATGACAACAAAGTGGCTTTGGTATTGGAAGAACGATCTTGGCCAGTGGATTGAATATGGGAACCAGGTCAGTATGCAATTTGTTCATTAGAATTACCCTGAGCAATATCTGAGCCTGCTTGGATATTCTTTTTTAGAGATAAATCTCAAGTAAGAGCCTTGTGGTATTGTACATCTGTCCTGCCTTGCTGTATGCCCACAAATTCCAAGTCCCTATGTCACCATTCAAAGAAATAGTCAATTCTGTCCAAAAGACATGTCCGTGTTGTCAATTCTGTCCATGTTGTTTGTGCATCCAGAGCATGCGTCCTCAAACTACAGCCTGTGGGATGGATCCGGCCCACCATGGCCATCCATCTGGCTTGCACAGCCATTTGCCGCCTGCGCGCGCACTTGCTGCGCGGGCAGGGAGGTGGTGGCTTGCTCACTTGGAGATGGTTTTTGACTTGCTGGGAGATCTCCGAGCGCACATGCCCGATGCCGTCTCGTACATGCCCGACGGCATTTCACTGGCCTGCGCCTCCAGGCACCCCCACTTCACTGGCCTGCGACAGTTACTGCAACTTTTCAACTGGCCCCCTATTGAAAAAGTTTTGAGAACCGCTGATCCAGAGTTTAAGCCAGGCAGGAGTGTCCAGAAGAATGTCCAGGATGCAAGCCAAGAAGTTTAGGAATCCACTTAATCCAAACAAGCTGGTAGCAATCCCTGTTGCTTGCCACAAAGAGCAGATTTTGGCTGATCTAATTTATAGCCAGCTCTAAAGCAACACAGCTGGCTAATTAGTTGTTTTATGGGAGGCTCCATGCTCAGCATGCTGCTTGAACTTATGCTGGATCAGTGAATTCATCCTCCTCTCCATGGAGTGAATTCTCTCTGAATCCAACTCCTGCCCTTGAGGAATTCAGAGACCACCTCTAATGGAGGTGGGTGACTGTAGCCTCAACCCCTGCATCTGCCCGTACCTGGGGCCCACTGTGTTGCCTCTCTTCATCTGAAGAACCTTCCTTCAGAAAGGACATGATACATTACTCCATTTAAGGGAGACAAAGTGCAACTTAAATACATACACACACACACACACACACACACACACACACCCCTGACCTCCACAACAAAAGTATCTGCACTTCTTGAGAACAGTGGAGGCTGTATCAGATCTACAGTGAAAAATAATCTGGTCCTGAGTTGTTAAGAACTGAAAAGGAGAATCTGAAGCTGTTGTTTAGCCCCTATAGTTAGTATAATTATGGACCTCCCTGTCTTTTCAGTATATGTTATTTTATATTTCATGTGTTCTTCTAGAAAATAAATGGACCTGATGAATGGAAAACCCTTTTAGGGGGCATTGACTCAAATAGTTTGAAAGACATGTTTTTGTGCTTCTTTGCTGACATATTTAAAAATATCGCATCCCAGAATTTCTTGTGGATAGGTAGGGAGCAGATACGAAGCATGATAATAAGAAATATTAAGAGCCATTATCTCTATAAGGTTTTACAGGGCCAAAACTATGAAAGCAAATGACCAGTTCATAGCCCTGTGTCCTGTCCCATCCTTCAGCTATTCTTACTATGTAGAGAAAATTCATGATTTTTGAATTTTAAAAAATCTTTAAAATGAATCTGTTTATTAAACTTCATGGATCACTGCCTTGTCGTGGTGAAGGGGCGTGCATAGCTCAATGAAGCCACCTCATAAAGAATGTGTTGGAGAGTGCTATCTGCTGTGGAGAGGGCAAAGGCAGTAATGGCAAGGTTTGCTATGGCAGAGCAGCCAATCTCTGATCTATCCACCATGTGCCTCTGGAATGTTACACAGCACTTGAGTGGGATGGCGCTTTCTCCTGTGGCAGTTTTCACATGTCACAAGCAACCTCTGAGCTCATCATTGATGAAGTGAGACCCATGATCCAAAGACAACAGAAATGTCTCCAGCTAGGGAGGACCAGAGATCCCTTCAAGAAAATTGGAGATATGAAGGGAATATTTCATCCAAAGATGGGCATGATAAAGGACCAAAATGGCAGGGACCTAACTGAGGCAGAAGAGGTGGCAAGATTACACAGAAGAACTATACAAGAAAGAGCTTAACGTCCCTGATAACCGCAATGGGGTGGTCACTGACCTCGAAATGTGAAGTTAAATGGGCCTTAGGAAGTCTGAGCAACAACAAAGCTAGTGGAGGTGACAGTATTCCAGCTGAGCTATTCAAAATCTTAAAAGATGATGCAGTAAAAGTGCTACACTCAATATGCCAGCAAATTTGGAAAACTCAAGAGTGGTCACAAGATTGGAAAAGGTCAGTTTACAATCCAATTCAAAAGAAGGGCAATGCTGAAGAATGTTCAAATTATCGCACTATTGCACTCATTTTGCATGCTAGTAAAGTTATGCTCAAAATCCTACAAGCTAGGCTCCAGCAGTATGTGGACCAAGAACTACCAGAAGTACAGGCAGGATTTCGAAGAGGGAGAGGAACTAAAGATCAAATTGCCAACATACGCTGGATCATAGAGAAAGCTTGGGAGTTCCAGAAAAACATCTATTTCTGCTTCATTGACTATACTAAAACCTTTGATTGTGAGGATCACAACAAGCTGTGGCAAGTTCTTAAAGAGATGGGAGTACTGGACCATCTTATTTGTCTCTTGAGAAACCTATATGCGGGTCAAGAAGCAACAGTGAGAACTGAACATGGAATCACTGATTGGTTCAAAATTGCGGAATTCGGCAAGGCTGTGTATTGTCACCCTGCCTATTTAATTTATATGCAGAGGTGGGGCTAGATGAATCACCAGTTGGAATTAAGATTGCTGGGAGAAATATCAACAACCTCAGATATGCAGATGATACCACTCTAATGGCAGAAAGTGAAGAGGAACTAAAGAGCCTCTTGATGCGGGTGAAGGAGGAGAGCGCAAAAGTTGGCTTGAAACTCAGTATCATCCGGTCCTCTCACTTCCTGGAAAATAGATGGGGAAGAAATGGAGGTAGTGACAGATTTTATTTTCCTGGGGTCCAAGATCACCACAGACAGGGACTGCAGCCAAGAAGTTAAAAGACGCTCCTGGGGAGGAAAGCTATGGCAAATCTGGACAGCATACTAAAAAGCAGAGTCATCACCCTGCCAACAAATGTGCGTATAGTCAAGGCTGTGGTTTTCCCATTTGCAATGTATGGCGGTGAAAGCTGAACCATAAGGAAGGCTGGGTGCCAAAGGATTGAGGCCTTTGAATTGTGGTGCTGGAGGAGACTCCTGTGAGTCCTTTGGACTGCAAGGTGATCAAACTGGTCAGTCCTAGAGGAGATCAACCCTGACTGCTCTTTAGAAGGCCAGATACTGAAGATGAAACTGAAATAATTTGGCCACCTAATGAGAAGGAAGGACTCCCTGAAGAAGAGCCTAATGCTGGGAACAATAGATGGCAAAAGAAGGGGACGGCAGAGGATGAGGTGGCTAGATAGAGTCACTGAAGCAGTCAGCATGAGCTTAAATGGACTCCGGGGGATGGTGGATGACAGGAAGGCCTGGAGGAATGTTGTCCATGGGGTCACGATGGGTCGGACACGACTTCGCGACTAACAACAACATCAATTCATTAAACTAATTGAAAATTTAAAGTGGTCTGTTTATAAAATGTTTCTAGTTACACTGGTCTTGTAGAATTTTTTTTAAAAAACATTGAAAATAAGAAAATTACAAAGTAGGAATTTTTGAAGGAATTGTTTCTAGGCTGGATGTTGAATTAAAAACAGCAAAAGGCATGTGTCTTTGGGCATGGAAGGAAAGGCCACTGTGTAATTTCAGAAATGTAAAAATTACACTTTTAGCATTAAAATAGATTTTATTTCACGAATGAGATTTTGTTTATGGGGCCCATGTTACAAATTTATACGTGGTCCTGAAGAGAAAAGCTTGGGCCCTGCACCTGGCATCATTGTGACTGCCTCTCTGAGGTGCAACCTCAACACTGAGAGCTCCGTTGAAACAAGATGTTGGCTGTATGGGCAAGTGTTACTTACATCCCAGGCATATGCATGTTAATTGTGCCTAAGACTAGGCTCAGAATTATTATTATTATTATTATTATTATTATTATTATTATTATTATTATTATAACATTTCGATAACTGCCACTATACAGCAGTTGTAAGACTAAGCATATATATTTTCCTTGGAATAAGTGCAAATGTGACTAAGAAAAGTGTCTTCATTGCTGGTAGCTAGATAAAGCAAAGTTCATGTAGCATAATGGGTATTGGGTTCAAGTTGTCATGAGCCGAGGTTCCTCCTTTGAGCAGCCAAAGCAACAGACCATTTTTCTTTATTGCTCTCAAGTACAAATCATTCAGAGTGAATCTCTGAGCATGCACAGAGTGGTTTGTTGAACCCAACCTAGTGTTTACCTCCAGGAACTCTCTGTATGAACTTGCTTGGGCCCCATCCCTTCAGAAGGGGCTCACTGAAACAAACATTCCTCCTTTTTGCATGCCAGTCATTTAATTGGGTTGTTCATCTCTGCTGGCACCTCATCTTGGAGTCAAGAGCTGGGGGGTGTCTGGTCTCCATCTGAGATCCCTTATTCCCAGAGTTCCCTCGCACAGGGTATACATCTTGGTCATTCTCAGGAACTGCCTGCCTACCAAATAATTTGACCTTTAGATAAGCATGCCTGCCTCTTACATCTCTGTGTCTTGGCATGTCCCAGTTCCCCTTTGATCTGCTTCACATTCTGATTCTTGATCTTCTGAACTCTGCAGCCAACAGTGCCCCTAGCAGCCATTCTTCACACTCCCAACAGCATTAATGTATTGAAATACATCAGTGGTGTTGTATAAGCATTTCATTCAAGAAGGGGGAACCTGATTGTAGGGAAGAAATAATTATTATTTCCACATGAGGTTCTATTACGTTTCCATATTTCTCCTCTTTAGGATGGACAACATCAAGGCTCCAGTTTAGGTTCTGATGATCTGGAGAATTTATTTCTAGCAGAACCAAATGGCACTATTCAGTTTGAAGCAGGCAGCCAGCAATATGTGATTAACTTTAAAGGTACTGTGCTGATTTACTTTAACTGGTTGTAGTATTCTTGACGTTCCACAGAAGGGCTGCTGTATCTACGAAACTTGTTCCACCCACCATTACTCCACCCCTATGTTACACAGGAATGCCCTTTTTTGTTTGTCATGCATGACCTCTGAAGGGTTTTTCAGAGAAGGATTCTTGACTCTAGCATTGCCTTGTAAGACCTTGAAATTCAAATTGGATTCTGGTGGTCAAAGAGCAGTCCCTCTGCTTTAGCAGTACTTTTTTTATGAATGAAAAGTTTGTTCATCTTTGACTTTCTACATTAAAATTAATATCTTATTTTTTCAAGAAATGACTCAGAGAAATCTGCTATACAATACCAAGAGAGAGGTCCGGAGGCGCCCCAAATTTGTTTCCTCTGAAGATGTAAAGACAAAGAAAGGGTATAATAATGTTTTGATGATGTAACTAAAAACTAATGACTTCCGTTTGCTTCTCCTTACCTCCCTCCCAAACTCTTTTTCACTTGTGTTGTCTTTTAGATTTAAGCCTAAGGGGAGGGACTATCTTATTACTGATCTGTGTAAGCTGCTGCAGAAATACTGTTTGGCTGAAAAAGTGGTAGAAATTCTTTAAATATGTCATCACCTTATGTTTTATAAAGGAAACATATCCATTATATAAAATTGTCTCTGTTGGAAAGAAACTCTCACATGAGCTTATCCAAGGTTATACCTAGATCAGCAGTGGGCAGACTAGGCTTATTGGGTCTGTTTGTGTTTTTTTACTGGAACCATCCATCAACCAGAGCAAACCATGTCCAGGTTACAGATGAGCTCCATTGCTAAGAACGTCCTTAAGTCAGATTTGTATGTAAGTCAGATCACATGAGTAAGCCAAATGTTTGTCTTCATATATGTACCCATTTTGCCTTTCTATGCATAAAAAACACTTCCATGTTTACAAAACATCTTAAACACAATATAGCATTGTAATAATGATAGTAATACAGTAGTAATAAAGTAACTACATACACGAGAGAGAGAGAGAGAATTTCTATGTATGTGCGTAGGTTTACAGCATTGTAAAAAGAAAAGAAACAGTTCTTTAAACCAGTTTAGAATATTCATGGGGTAACATTAAGCATAACAATAACTGATGATGATGATGGAGATGGACCTACTGCTAAAGAGTCAGAGTTTGATTGTGCTGCTGGACGGGGGCGGGTTACCATTGGAGTCTAGGATCAGGATGCTGCAGAACAACAAGCTGTGAGTACTGTATCTCTGGGGAACTACAGGGCCACTGAGAAATGTATCAGCGAATACATCATATGTAGTTTCCTAGAGATAGTCATGACTATTTCTAGTGAATCTCTTTCTCTTTAAAAAAAATGGCAGTGAATATCTCTAGGGATATAGCCACTGATGATCCACCACCAAATGCATTCCACATTGAATTGTAGGCATCAATGAGCTGCAGTGTTATTTCTATCATTACATCACTATTATTAATAATGTATCAAACTCTTTCCTATAATACTGGTACAGTTCTGGATAACTTGTCATCGACACTGCTTATGCAGTACCCACTGATCATAGTGGAAAACCAGACACATTGAAAAAATGAGGTAGAACAGTGAAAAAAACTCAGTGAAAATGAGATAAAAGAAGGGCAGTGCATGAATATAAAAGTAACTGTTTCTCTACAAATGATTGACAGACAGGAAAAAATAACAAAGCAACTATAATAAGCATGTTGTGTTAAAAATTACTATACCCTAGTTAAATCATTCTACATTTTCTAGTTTTGTTTTGTTAACTATGTAGCTTTTTACAACTACCTACCCAGTGTGCTGGGTCCAGGGTGTATTGTCTTCACCAGAGTAAAACAGAAGAAATAGAGAAACACCAGGGGAGCAACAGCAGCCTTCTTCTCTGGTACTGGTACTCTCCAGTTGTTTCGGACTGTACTTTCCAAAATTCCCAACCACTGACCTTGCTGGTTGAGGTTAATGGTGATTGAGGTCCCAAACCTCTGAGAGACAGCAGGTTGGGAAAGGCTTCAATATAGTTTCTGAAGGCTGTCTCTTGCTTGTGATGAAAATGGGGATGGGGGAGGCAAGAAAACTTCAGTGACTAAAAAACAGACCTACTTTATTATGATCAGAGATGAAGAATGGCCTTTATGTGAGAGCAAGCATGGTTTGGTGGTTAGACTGTTGGGGTGGGGCTTGGGAGAGCCAGGTAATAGTCCCCACTTGGCCTCAAAGCTCACTGGGCCAGTCACAGACTTTTAGATGAACCTACCTCACCTAGTTGTTGTGAGGGTTAAATGGAACTATGTAAGCCACCTTGCCTTCCTCACAAAAGGAAAAAAATGCAATGCAGCAGCAGTAATAAGTAGGAGGTGGAACTTCCCTGCTGATGGACAGAATTTTCCATAAGAGAAATTTTAAAAATCTGGTAGCAGGCTTTTTATCTCATGGGTCACAGCAACCTGCACATCGTATCAGTGTTTTTTCCCCTTGTAGGAAAGCCAAGTATTTTGTGGCTTCTCTAAATACTGTGATCTTCATGTCCAAGCACAAAGTTATTTCATTCAGGTACCAGATTTCCACACTAACTATTGCTCTTTTCTTGGTAAAAATTACAAGCAGCTTACACAGAGCCAGTTCTTTTCCACTGTTCTAATCCATTTTTTTAAATACATGGCTTCTCTGGTATCTCCTAAATCCAGTGATCCTTTGTACCTAGTAGGAGCAGTTCAACAATCCTTACCCATTTTTTCTCCCCCTCCCCTTTTGCACATAAACAGCCACACAGCTGGCCCAGTTCCAGTATCTACTGCAGCTTCTGCATCTCCATTAGGTCCAGCACTAAACTATCCTTTGGAGTGGGATAGATCAGCTCTTCCTGCTATTGGCTACAAGGTAATTGGTTGACTGTTATTTATTGCAGTAAGGGTAGCTTCTATCCCCCTCACCCTGCCTGAGAGTCTTATCAGAGGGACTCTCATTGCCATCCTTGTCAAGCAAGCCTCTTGTTCCAGGGTATCAGCAGTGGACAACCAATGTGGTATGCCGGATACAATGTCGGGCATAGGTCAGGTGCCTGATTCCAAGCAGCCATAGAGCTCCCAGGCCAGTCCCTGTTAGTACTTCACTTTGCAGGACTATTGTGAGGTCAAATCATGCATGCATATGTGTAAGAGAGATTAAGATTGTTTGTCAGCCTGAGCTCCATGGGCAGGATAAACACACACTATCAAGATTGCTTACCACCTTATATTCATCCTTTGGCTTGGTTAAATTGAGGTTCCCTGTGCTAGGGTTGTGCTTTGGAAAACAAGTGGTGTGCAGGGAAGGGTGGAATATGTTAAGCATAGAAAATTAAGACAGTGACAGATTTCACTGGAAAACAGTGACCTATAAGTCATTGTGTCTCCTGAAATGCAGTGCATGTTCAGCTCAGCTGTGTAAAACTGAAACTCAGGATAACACTTCATGCATCTAAAGTAATGGGCTACATGTAGCGTTCAGCTGTCCTTATATCCCTACCTCCCGTGGCCCCCCGGGTGAATCTGCACCCAGAATTCCCCAGTCCCATCCACCAGGAACCAGTCACATTGAATTCAACACATGCCCACCCAAGTATTTGGAGAAAACAACTTGATTGAACACGCACACGCAATGAGTGGAGGATTTAAAAGGGCAAACCTTCAGCAACACAGATGCACACACAGAAGAGGGAGAAGGAAAGGAAAGAGGAATTGGAAAGCAGGATACAAAATATAAAGTTCAAATCCTAAACACAATTCCCAAGCCCTTTGACCATCTCATACTTAAAAAAACAAAGCTAGCTAAGTTACCACTAATACCAGAAAGAATACTAAGCTGGGCTTTCTCACAAGTAGTGTAGCAAGGTACAGATGGATGGAGCCTTTGGAGCCAACTGGTTTCTCTCTGAAGAGGGCACAAATGCCAACCCAAATGCTCTCTTTTTATTCCCCCTCCAAGCAATCGGAGCCCTTGGTTCCATGGGGTGACATCTGAGCATTCCCAGGTGGGAGCTATGACTCAGTGACCCCCACCCCTCTGGTGCCCTTCTCCCAAGAATGTGAATTGCCCTGTCCTTGGATGATTTGCAACACTTCGATGATTTTGGTATTCCTCTCTCTGCCCAGCCTTTTGGTTTTCATGATAAAAATAAGGAAAAAAATAATTTCTTCCATAATGCCACAGGAGTGTTCAATCTGTGAATGTTGCAATCAGCAAACTGCTTCATCTGCAGAGAGCATGTCCTAACTATGGCAGTTGCACAATCCCTTAATTTGCATCAGCCAGACATGTAAAATTGGGCAAAGTAGGTTCACACATGACATTTTTGGGTATACATTGGTTAAAATGTTATGCAGTACATCAGCAAGTGTAAACTGACTCTGAGTTAGCATGACATAGTGACTCATCTTGTGAATAAGCAACACATTTCTGGGTTGCTCATGGAGCAGTCCAGAGTACACCTAAAAGATGATCAGGCTTAGCATGGATTGTCTCCCTCAGTCCTCACACAAGCATCTCAGGGACCGGCATGGTAGGACCTGTCTAGTCTTCTCTCCCTGCTATGATTACAACCTTTTGTGGTCACAGCCGCGCCTTTCTGCTTCAGTGATAGTGATATTTATTTATTTAGAGCTTTTATATACTGTCCAACCACTAGCTCCTCAGGACAGTCTTACAGTAAAAGCAATATAAAGTAAAATGAAGCACAGCATCCAAATAATTCCAATAAAATAAAACTTACCTTAAAACCAAAGCAAATTTTAAAATAATGGGAAAATGAAAAGGTTTTAGCCTGGTGCAAAGAGGAAGAGTGCCAGTGCCAGACAAACCTCCCTGGGAAGCGCTCCATAACCAGGGTGCCACCGCAGAGAAAACCCTTCTCCAGGTAGCCACCCTCCTAATCTCCTTGAAGGAAAGCTCCCGAACAAGAATCTCCACCTCAGATCTTAAGGGGCAGGCAGGCAGGCACATAGGGAAGGAGATGCTTCTTGAGATACCTAGATCCTAAGCTGTTTAGGGCTTTATAGGTCATCGCCAGCACCTTAAATTGGACCTGGACTTCAATTGGCAGCCAGTGTAGATGATAGAGGACTGGCATTATAAGTGAATACCTCCCGGTCCCTGTTAACATCCTGACAGCTCTATTCTAAACGAACTGAAGTATCCAGACCATCTTCAAGAGTAGCCCCACATAGAGCACATTACATTAGTCCAGGGGTCTTCAAACTTTTTCAACGGGGCCAGTTGAAAGGTGCCAGCGGTGGGCGCAGGCCGCCAAGGCGGTGCAGGTGGGGGGGCGCAGGCCAGTGAGAGGGTGAGGGCGGGGGGCATGTGAGGTGGGGGGGGGCATGCAGGAAGAGACAGCAGCTTGTTTGCACGGAGATTGTTTTCTCCGAGCAAGTCCAAAATGATCTCCGCACAAGCAAGCCACTGCCTCGCCCACGTGCGAATGCGCAGCGAGTCCAAAACCTCTGAGGCGGGCCAGATGAATGAGCATGGTGGGCCGGATCTGGCCCGCAGGACGTAGTTTGAGTACCCATGCAATAGTCCAGTCAGGAGGTTACCAGAGCATGGGTCACTGTTGCTAGGCACTGCTCATCCTGGTAAGGGTGCAGTTGGTGATCAGCTAGGCTGAAGCTGAAGGAAAGCACTCCTTGCCACTGCTGTTCCAGTGACAGCTCTGGTCAAGAACTCCCAAACTGCACACCCAGTCCTTTAGAGGCAGTGCAATCCTATCCAGAACTGGGCTGAAATCACTTACCCAGAAGGCTGAACGGCCCACCAACAGGACCTCTGTCTTGTCTGGATTGAGCCTCAGTTTATTGGCTCTCATCCAGCCCATTACCCCAGCTAGGCACCAGTTAAGGACAGCCGCTGCCTCACCTGGAGTAGATGTAAAAGAGAGGTAGAGCTGGGTGTCATCAGTGTACTGATGACTCCACAGCCCAAATCTCCAGATGACCTCTCCAGATGACCTCTCCCAGTGGTTTCATGTAGATACTGAAAGGATAAAATGGAACCCTGCAGAACTCCATGGCAAAGCTGCCATGGTGCAAAGCCAATATCCCCAGCACCACCTCCTGGAATCGGCCAGTGAGATATGAGAGGGACCACTGCAAAGCAGTGCCTCCAATTCCCAACTCAGCCAGCCTATCCAGAAGGATACCACGGTCGATGGTATCAAAAGCCGCTGAGATATCCAGAAGTGGGCCCAGATGGTCATTTTCCTTCAAGAGAGCCTGGAGTTGCCTGGTCACCACCTGCTCGAACACCTTGCCCAAAAATGGGATCTTGGCCACCGGCTTATAGTTGGTAGCTATTGCTGGGTCCAGGGTCTCCCCCTTCATGATGGGCCTGATCACGGCTTCCTTCAAAGGGGTGGGGACCCAACCCTCCTTCAGAGAAGCATTGATAACCTCCTGGACCCAGGTGTATATCCCATCCTTGGCTTTGATGGGCAGCCATAAAGGGCAAGAGTTGAGCAAACAGGTGGTGGGTTAGACTAGTCCAAGCACCTTGTCCACATCCTCAGGCTGGATCCAATAAAGATGGACCAGATAGCACTCTGAACTCTTCCCGTTCCAGGGCCATCTCAACTGTGGAGTCCAGCTCATGGTGAATCTGAGCAATTTTATCCCTAAAGTACTGGGAAAAGTCACAGCGAGCTACTGATGGTGCAATAAGGTCCCAAGCATCCTCTTCCACCATATAAAGCCCGCATGGTACCTTGGTATATGCCTGAGTTGTGGGCGATGAAGCAGGCTGGGAGACGACTAGAGTGTAGGTCAGGGGTCCTCAAACTTTTTCAACGGGGGGCCAGTGGAAAGGTGCTGGTGCTGGGCACGGGCTGGAAGGTTGGTGCCAGCGGTGTGTGTGGGCTGGCGAGGGGGTGGGGCTTATGCACATGGGTGCACGTGCTGAGGCGGGGGCAGGATGAGTGGGCGCACGTGCAAGGCAAGGCGGGAGCGCAAGGTAGCAGCTTGCTTGCTTGGAGATCGTTTTCTCCGAGCGAGTGCAAAACAATCTCTGCACGAGCAAGCTGCCACCTCCCTGCACGCAGAGTGAGGCAGGTGGCGCAGGCACGCGTGCCCGCCCACAAAACATAGAAAACAGAGGGAGTCAGAAGGGGTCTCCCGGGCCATCTAGTCTGACCTCCGGCACCAGCCGGCTCCGCTCACGACATGCCCACCATGTGGACCTCTGAGGCAGGCTGGATAAATGGGCATGGCAGCCTGGATTCAGCCCGCGGGCCATAGATTGAGGACCCATGGCGTAGGTGGAGGAAATTCCATGATGAATCTGACCGAACATGTCTTGGAGCTCATTATCAAGCCTATGCTGTGGCAGTGAGGATGGCAAAGAAGGAATTCTTATCCCATTCCCTTGCATCCTCACAGTGCCATCCTGCAGAGCTTTTTTGGGTGGTGCAGGGCCAATTGCACTCTGAGCCTAAAAAGGACCTTATTGCACCATCAGAGTGTGGCCTCTTTTATTTGTTGGGCCAGTGACATGTTGAGACAGCCCCATGATTGTCATGGCAGCCATGAAGTCCTGAGTTGCCCCAGCCAGAGCAGCTTCAGCATGGAGATTGAAGTCCCCCAGGACTAACATCTTAGGGGTCCTCAACACCAGCTCAGCACCAGGTCTGAGATTATCTCCAGCTCAGGTAGGGAGTCTATTGGGCAGAAGGGTGCATGGTACACCAACAGAATCCTTTATCTGTCTTGATCATTCAGCACCAGGTACAAACACTCTAGACCTGGCCTCAAAGGGACAGGAAGCCCCATGAGGGAGATTGAATCTCAGTAAATTAGGACTATACCCCTTCCCCTTCCTTCTAGGTGGGATTGGTGCTGGACCAAATATTCAGG